CACATAAGAAAACCTCTCCAGAGCTGAATGCTGTCACAGACGAGGACCTTATTGATCCCACTGTTCAAGGAAGTTCCTAAGGAAATGGAAGATACCTACCAGGGGTCTATATTTGCCATTTCCTCTGGTTCTTTAATAACTGGCCCACCTATTTTCAGAAGAGACCTTTTTCTCTCGTTGTGAAATGCTCTGCAGAAACTCCAATAGCACTTAAGTGTTTTATTTGTGGATAATCAATAAAATGCCATCGCTGTTGAAATGCTGTCAAATTCCACTTTCCGTTCAGTACTAAGTACATAGTTGTGTGCAGTCTCAAATGAAAACAAAGCTTTGGGCAATCTATCTGTATTTCTCCAGTCTGCTTTTAGTTCTTCTGGAAACAATAATTTGAATTCTAAATCTGTCTGAAATCCCCAACCCAGTCCCAGAGATAGAAGACTGTAGATGATCAGCCTACCTCAACCATGATCCCAGATTCATTCATATTCATTACCACCTGTTGGTGTGAGGTGGGCAGTGACATTGCCAGGCCGATGACTTCTGCCTTGGAGTGCTACTACAGGGCTCTCTCAGGAGTTTGTTAACTTGATAATGTCCCTTCATGTGATTTTTTAAAATCCAGAAACAGGAAAAGTATTTGACAATCTTAGAAAACATTAATCTGTGAGGAAACTAAGACTAATTGACCACCAAATATTCCACAATAACAATAATAAGTGCCCCAGGCTCTGTTCCTGCCTTTCTAGAGACATTAGCAGCCCACACCTTGGTCTCACCTGGAGGTTGATATCAGTGTCACCTCGTCAGTACCCCTCTATCCACCCATCACTCTTGCCAAGGTCAAGTCCAGTCATTTCATCTTATTTCCACTTTTCACTTACAAATGATTAACTTGACTTCCTTACTACTCTATTCAGTGCTATTCCTTTCAAATAGTTGAAATACCTTTCAAATTTAAAAGCAATATTGCATACCTTGTATGTGAACTATATTTTTTTCTTCTATTTCAGCATGTCCAGCATAATCAGTTATGAGGAAGTGATTAGACCATTCTAACAGGGATACTTTAATCTGTAGTAGTGTGATTTGTGACCATCTCACCAACATTTTCAAGCAGATGGCCAGGGATAGCTTTTTAGTTTACTCCCCAAAACATCCTACATTCAATCTGCCTGACAGTTTACCTCTATCAATATCTCATCCACATACCATTCTAAAAAACTAGCAAACTCTTCTCCAACAAATGCTATGTGCTTTCTCTTCTAGTTTACTTTCAGTCTTTGTAAACCAGATCAAAAGAAAAGAGTGGAAGTTGAGCTCCTGGATATGAAAAGAAAATATTAGAATGTCTAATCTGGGCCAGCTGAGTGGCTCAGTCGGTTAAGAGCTTGCTCAAGAGTGTGAGCTCTGAGCAACAGGGTCGCTGGTTCGATTCCTGGCCTGAGCTGAGCTGCTGCTGAGCTGCCAACAGGTGACAAGATGGCTCAGCTAAAAAAAAAAAAAAAACAATAAAAAAAAAAGAATGTCTAATTATGTTTACTTGTCTCATTCTTTGATTTCTATTTTTGGGTATTTTATAACGCAAATAACTTATTAGTAAACAAGCATGTGATTATAATTCATAAATATACAAATATTGCAGGTATGAGCAAAAAGTATTTTATTGATAGGATTGCTATGTCAAAGATGTTTAGATTACTGAGCTAAACAATAACACTTTCTTATAATACACTTTCTTGGTCCTCTATGGACAATTCCTACTAAAATGTTGTATTCTAGTTGTTTGGCTAATAAAATATTTTGTATTCATGTAGTGTTTAGATGGTAACATAATATTATTACTAAAATGAGATCTCTCTCTTAGCTTTCCTATTATATCTCTGAATTATATTTTCTTATTCAGGCCTATCTTTAAAGACAGGCCCCATAGTTTAAAAAAATGTTTTTGTCTTTATGTCAAAATTAAAACCACATAAAAATCAAACATCCTTTTAAAAACAGATGACACTCAAGGCAGCTTTTCAAACACATACAGCGCTTACAAAGTACAGGCACTATTCTGTTTCTCATTTATTCCTCATAACATTATAATTATAAAATTCTATCATATAATATTCATTTTTAATAATTATAAAAATTAGTATTTCTAATAGACGGAGAAATTTACTTTAGCAAAACTCAAGATACCACTAAAGCCGTAGTAAATCATATTTTCAATGAAGAGAAACTGAAGACATTATTCTCTGTGCTTTACACTCTTTTCGTCTACATACTGTCAAGGAATCCCAGTTATTAATGGTGTGGCATTGGGCAGGCAATTGAGGCTCAGAATCTTTATCGGCAGTCAGTTCATTCATTGGAGCACCTACTCGTGCCAGGCCCTGGTCTTGGTTGGAGGACATAGCAGTGAACAAAAGACAAGATCCTGACCTCAAAAGGAGCCTATTAGGTACACCAGAAAGGCACTTGGCCAGAAGACAGCCACTCATTCTAATGTTAGCTATTATCATTTCCCCAAACTAAGGGCTCCCTTAGTTATCATTATCTTAGTCATATTTTCACTTCAAGGTAAATTCCATTTGCCTTATTCTACCTAGCCTCCAAATGTTTCTTTTTCTTTTTGGGGAATTGGGGAAGGGAATAGTGTTGGGGAATTGGGAAGAGGAGCAGCCCAGTTGTTGTCCTTCAGTCTTAGTTGTGGAGGGCGCAGCTAGCTCAGCTCCAAGTCCATTTGCTATCTGGCCACCCATTGGCAGCTTGCGGCAGCTCAGCTCAATGTGCTGTGTTCAATCTTAGTTGCGGGTGAGCGTAGCCCACCATACCATGCAGGAGTTGAATCGGCAACCTTATTGTTAGGAGCACGTGCTCTCACCAGCTGAGCTATCCTGCCACCTGTTGGCAGCTCAGCTCGGGCACAGCTCACTGGCCCATGTGGGAATCTTACCGGCAACCCTGTTGCTCAGAGCGTGCGCTCTTAACCAACTGAGCTACTCAGCTGGCCCCCCAAATGTTTTGTAACCAGAGAAAAGGGCAGAGAAGAGACAGTTAAATGGTTCATCAGAATTTGGCACCAGCATGCATACAGACTCTCCACCTTTCCTTGAAAAGAACTGTTGTAAAGCTCTGGAGATCCAGCCAGCTACTGAGGGTAAAACAGCACAGCCAGAAACAAGGTTCTGCAAAAGACTTTTGATGGATAGCATCCCGCCACACTCGGATCCTCCCAGGAGTGACTTTTTGGGGATGCTGATAAAGGTCCATTTACACCTGGAGGTTACAGCTGAGGTGCTGCTGCGCATCTGACAGCTGCAAAATTTAACTGCAGTGTAACTTAATCCCTAATGATGCCGGCTCCCAGGCTGCCCTTCCAGGACCTGTCATGAGGACATCGCTTTATTTATTCAAAATTATTATATAATCACAATCACAGGCCATGCTCTCCACGGTTACCACTGTTACACAGAAAGCATTGCTCGAGCAACCTGCCTTTCAATACAGAATCTAAAACTACCAGCAGGAGAATAAAAGAAGTGTGCTGAATCCAAAGTCAACACGTGAAGTAAAATAATAACAGGAATTCCCAAGAGAGAGCACTTCCCTTACAAACAGCTTAGATCACTTCACAAACACCTCACTAAATCCAAATATCTGAAAGAGGCCCGCATCTCCAGCCGGGGGTCACAAATGCCACTGGCCAACATTGAACACAGGATATGCTTTAGGAGTTTTAGGCCACAACCTCAAAAACTTCGGGAGAAGCCAGGTCAGATCTATTTCCTCCTATATGTATTTTACACCATTCTGCGAAAAAGAAATAAAACCTGCAGCAAAATGTTTGCAGTTTGCTGATGGGCTACAAAGCCAGGGAGCTGGCCATGCTCTGACCTCACCCTTGGTATGTGCTGTCAGCATTAGAAAAACACTCACTCTTCTTCACCACCGCCTCCTCCCCATATTCATGCACCTAACTCCAGTGTCAGGTTGCTGACTTCAGGCTTAATGGGCAGCAGGAAGGCAGGCAGGTCCAGAGAAAGATAGCAAGGGAGGACAGGTTACAGCCCATCTCTGCACTGTACATACTTCCAGCCCTTCCTCCCACTGCGGGTCCCCATATGGGAAGAATCTTCTATCCACAAGACTATCTGAAGATGGCAGACACCCCCACACACTGGGCCCTTAGGCTTCTCTGAAGCTCCCAACCCCCTTCTGAGCCCTCAACCCCACCAGTTCCATCACAGCTCATGCCCAATCCAGACACAACAGGACCGTCCTTGCATCCAACATCTCATCCCTGTGGCCCAGCTGCTCACCCATCCCCCACCCTCCTCTCCTCATCCAGCACCTTCCCTCTTGCGTCCTCCCTGTGCCAACAAACCACTCCCTCTCCCTCTTCACCACAGCCTCTGGAACCTTCTTCCCATTGTTAAATTCCCTAGGGGTTACTGGTCAAGACTTTGGAGTTGGGCAGTTCTGGTGGAGCCCGGTCTCCACCATTTTCTGGATGTATGACCTTGAGCAAGCTGCCTAATCTCTTCAAACCTGAGATTCCTCATCAGTACAACAGGGTTTACCTATCTCTGAAAGTGAACGTTAACTGAAAACTACACATATTTAGCAAAATCCTCACCATACATTCAAATATTTAATAAGTGTCCATTTTATACCGGGAAAAGTTTTCGTAAATGGTAGCAACTATCATTTCCCCCTCCATCCTCATTTTACTTTTTATTGCGGTAAATACACACATTAAATTTACCATTTTAGCCATTTTTAAGTGTACACTTCAGTAGTATTAAGTACATTCACATTGTTGTACAATCATCACCACTATCTAGCTCTAGAACTTTCGCAAATCCATCAAATACTAATTTCCCCCCCTCTGCAGCCCCCACTGACAGGGCCTCTTTCCACAGGGAAGTGTTGGCTGAGCCCATTTCTCTTCCAACCTCATGTAAAAATTCATCCTTCTTCGAGACTCAAAATTCTCAGCTGTCACCTACCTATTTTTGGGAACTTCTCCTCACGCACCAGGAAAAAAAGTGGAGAGGGGCTTAATTCACAATTTTCTCTTCAGCCAATGGTCAGCTCCTAAAGAAATAAGAGCATAGGTGTAAGGGAGGGGGTGGGAGGAGGGGTTTGGACACCCTGAATTAGAATGGCATCCTTTAGTGTAATAACCGTGTGAGCAATTACTTAAGCTCTCTGGAGGTTAAGTTTCCTCACCTATGAATGGCGGTTGATAATAACAATACCTATTCACAGAATTACTGTTGAATGAACAGTTCAAGGCACTCAGAGCAGTGCCTAGCACACAGCTGTCATAAGTGGCCACGGTTACTACCCCTATTACTGCTCTTGAACCGCTAATCCTTGACTGCTGACTGGTCAGCCATTCCCGGGGCCACGCCTTAGTGCCAGAGGGCACAGTTCAGGGCTCTCGCTCTGTGACCATCACCTCCATCTTTGTAGTGCACACGGCCCCCTCACTCCCTGGAGGGTATCCCCTTCTTCATTCCCCAGCAGTGTGGACCCCACCATTGTTCATCCCACTCACCCCTCACCAGCACCTTCTGTTCTCTGCAACCTTTTTCTTTTGTGACACCCGTGGGAATCAATACTACAACTCAGCTTCCCCACCCCTGAACCCCGGGCCCAAAGTCCCCAAAGAGAAGTCGAATCACTCACAGAGATGCCACTTCACTTGAATGTCTCTGACCCAGAAGGGCCCTCAGTGTTCTAAAAAAGCCCCGTCCTATTCCCCTCAACACCCATCTCAAACTTCCATCACCATTCTCCTCAACCCTGCTCTTGCAAATGCCCTTTCCTCCATTTCACCCCGAAAACTAAGCCAGCGAGCTTGATATGCTAACACCCCAACTTCCTGCCTCTGCTTCTTACCCACCAACCTATCCACACACACCTCCCCTGGCGTTTCCTCTTCACTGCTATTCCAAATCCACCTTTCCATCGCCGATGCTGTAGCTCTCTCCCGCACTCCACACTTACCCACTTTGTTCCCACACACACCATGCTATGTACCTTCCATGCCTCAGCTCTGTCCTCTCCCCGCAACCCACACCTCAACTAGCCGCTCCTTTGAGAGGCAGCTCAAGACTCACCTCCTCCAGGAAGTGACCACCTCCTCCCCTTCCTCCTCCTCCTCCTCCTCCTCCTCCTCTGACTCCTCCTCCGACTCCTCTAACCTCTGCAAATGTCACTCTGCCATTTCCTCTCACTGTGTCTCTCCCTGAGAACAGAGGTGACGTCCACTGCGAATCCCAGGGCCTGGCACATAGAGGTGCCAGTAACTGTTGAATAAATCAAAGGATGAGTATAGTGTTTTCTGCTCTGAAGGATTTTATTAAATGTTTTATTTAAAAACACCACCAATGAAGACTCATAATCGGCTCCTTACATATGATGCTATATAGTTTCTTCCTCTGATCTAGACTGAGAAACAGCCCTTCACTTCCCGCCTCCCCAGAACAAATATTCCTTTGATGAAAGAAAAAACCAGAAACAAAAATACAACTTCCTCCTCAAGCAAAACAGAAAACCCGAAATAGCAGGACAGTTTATGAAAATTATCCAGCTGACACTGGCTTAGGTAAGATAAAGTGCAGCTCTGAGCTGAAGAGGAGAAAGGGAAGTTTACCTTGGATGGCTACTCGGGGAGGCGACGATACTCAAGTACTAAACAAGAAAACTGACCAAAATAATAAGTCTCAGGTCTATTTATAAGGCAAGGGAGGAAGAGGAAGCGGGTAGCTCCAGTGGAAATTTCCTTCCTTTGTCCAGTTTTACTTTCAGGTGTGGCTTCCATACTAATTTCTCAATACTAACTTAGGACGATTTGTTTTATAGGAAGTCATTTTGAAGGGCCCCAGGGAGCTGCAGATGGTACCTCGGGGGCCCATCTGTTTAAGGATGAAAGCTTGGCGCACACCATTACATCACTCTGACCTTCCTCAGTAACTTCCTATCCGACAAAATCTAGATGTTTGCTCTGTCAACAAGATATTTGTGTTTGTCCCCAGCCTCCGGCTTTGGTTCCTGATTAGTTTTAAAATCATTATGCACCCAAGCTGAATAGGGCTACTGTTAGCAGCTGTAAGGTCCTCTTCTGGGCAAATCCCCAAGTCTGTGGCCTCCAGGGAGTGATTTCTGTCCTGTCCGCATAATTACACACTCCCCTGATTGATGATCTGACCAGTCCTCCTACGCCCCCCCCACCCCCCACCCCCGCTCCTCCCCAGCTAAAACCTCTATGTACTTTCCCAGAGGAACAGAGAGGAGGGAAGAAAGGTGTTGGGAGGGAAGCTGTGTGCTCCCCCCAAATAAATGCTCAGGCGCTATACATTACAATGTGAGCACACAGCACTGTCCCCATCCAGACCCGCCGACCCTTCCAGCCATCTTTTACACTGCCCACATTGGTTAATGCCATCTGAGGTACTGGAAACAAGGAGCAGGAAAAGAGCTCCTATTTCCTGGACACTCACAGACCCCACAACAGCCCAATGCCCCCTAAAACAGATCCGCTTCAGCCAAGCATGGTCCCCTAATCACATACATTCGTGATCACCCCTGAAAGTGCCAACATAACGTACACCCTCTCCAGCTTTTCATCCTCTTCCTCTGTGCTCAACAGGGCCCAACCACAGTCACATCAACTGTGAGTAGCTGGTAGGCACCTTGGCAGAAGTTACATTTTAAATAGGCTTTTGCCCCATTTTTAGGGGAGAGGGAGTTACCTGTACTGATGTTTGCAACTTACTTTGAAATACTTTTTTAAAATAAGGTGGGTAGCTGGGTAGGTATGTAACAAAGCAGAAATCACAAAACCTGAACTAGAGACTCTAGGTTGTTAGGTATGTGGGTGTTCACTGTACACTTCTTTCAACTTTATATTTGAATGTTTTCATACTTAAATGCTGGGGGGGGGGGATGCTTTTAGTATCTTTTTAAAAAATTAACTAATTTCCAGACTTTATGTGGGTTTCACCAGTTCTTCCACGAATGTCCTTTCTCCATTCCAGGATCCATCTCCAGGATCATCTTATCTCCTTGGTCTCCTCTGTTGTTAACAGTTGTTCATGACCTTGACAATTCTGAGGAATACTGGTCAGGTATGCGTATTATGTCCCTGAATTGGGATTTGTGTGTTGTGTTTCTCACAGTTAGACTGAGGTTATGGGTTTTGGTGGGGAGGCCACTGATACAAAGTGCCTTTCTCATCGCATCATATGAAGGGTACATGCCAACAGCGTGACTTCCTGATGTCAACCTGGATTATTTGGTGTCAGGTTTCTCCATTGTAAATTTACCTTTCCTCCTTTCCATACTCTATCCTTTAAAAGCAAGTCACTAAGTTCAGCCCACACTCAAGGTGTGGGGGAAATTAAGTACCAGCTCCTGAAGCAGTAAGTATTCACATAAGTTAGTTGGAATTCTTCTATAAGGAAGACGACTTTTCTCCCTATATAAATGTATGTATATTTACTTTACACTTTGGATTGTAATTCAGTACTACACTGTTTACTTTGTTGCTTAAATCATTCCAGCTTTGGATATTAGGAGCTCTCTGAGGTTGGCTCCTATGTCCTTTTGACATGCCCACATTCTTTGTTTTCTTGAGTACTTCTTTATATTCTTGCAATACAAGATGCTCTACATCTATAATTACCCATTTCTCCAAGGAGCACTGGTTACTTTTGTTGGAGAACGGTATTTAGAAACCAAGATCTGGGTATGTTGTTGCTTCTGGGGTGTCACTGCTTCCAAGCCCTCTCAGTGGACAGATCTAGGAAATGCATATATGTACCAACCCCTAACCCGTGTATGCACCACACATCTGGAATGCTTTCTATATCTATATTAAGCTAACATAAATTCATACTGATGTCTCCACCTCTAATCCAGTACCACATGGTTCACTGTAGCTTTCTGCCCTTGCTGACCTATGACTTCCCTCTCCCAACAGTGGGAAATCCAGCTCCCACCATCCACTATCCATTTGCTTGTTTGTTTGACTCCTGAATACATGTAGTTTCAGAATTGTTAACCTGTACTCCCATGACAAACAACTTTATCAACCAGCATACAGTGTAAATGTACAGGTCCTTTTGTCTTTAGCCTTAATAGTTACTGGTCAAACACCATTTTCCACAGTTACTTAGGTTGATGCCTTTCATCTTCACCCCCTTCAATGAGGTTATGTCATACTTACAAATCAGGTAGCTGCATTCACCCAGAGACACACACCCACACACATACCCGTTTTTTTGTTTTTAGTTTGTACACAGTTCTTGCATAAAGTTCCGTTTCTTTCCTAGCTTTAATGAAGTATAACTGACAAATAAAATAAGATATACAGTGCAGTATGTGATTATATATATATATACACACACACACACACACACACACACATTGTAAAAAGATTCCCCTTGAGTTAATTAACAAATCCATCATCTTACACATACTTTTTTTTTCTTTTGGTGAGAACACATTTAAATTCTAATCTCTTGGCAAATTTGAATTATACAATACAGAGTTATCAACAATAGTCACCATGTTACACATTAGAACCTCAGGCCTTATTCATCTTACAACTGAAAGTTTGTACCCTTTTACCAAACTCTATTTCTCCCACCCCCCGGCCTGTCAACCACTTTTCTACTCTGTTTCTATGAGTTAAACTTTTCTTTTTTATGATTCTACATATAAGTGACACCACGCAGTGTTTGTCTTTCTCTGTATGGCTTATTTCACTTAGCATAACGTCTTCTAGGTTCATCCATGTTGCAAATGACAAGATTTCCTTCTTTTTTAAGGTTAAATATTATCCCATTTTTTAATATATACCACATTTTCCTTACCCATTCATCTACTGACGGACACTTGGGTTGTCTACATAAATTCTTTAGTGCCTATTTTATCTAAATAAATAGGCTATTTAAATACCTGCTATTACTTTCTATTGGTATACATGTTTTATTTTATCCTTAGTACTTTAATACTTATTTCTGAGTGTACCCCACAATACCTAGAACAGTCCCAGACCACAGTGATTACTTAGATATGATTAA